CCCATATTATGTAGACCGCAAAGATTTGCCCGAAGTTCCTGCCATCCTCAGAACCCTATCCTTTCTCAACGAATATATGAAAACATACATACACGCGTACACACACACACACACACACACACACACACACACACACACACACACACACACACACATACACACATACACACACGTACACCCGAAGAAGTCAAAACCTAGATTTATTAACCATATTATTGTTCTGCTTATCCTGAAGACCCTCTTATTCCGGGTATCACACACACACACACACACACACACATACACACAACACAACACAAACACAATCATGCTCACCCAAGAAGTCAAAACCTAGATTTACTAACTATAATTATTACTCGTATTATATCCATCTGTTTTCCCCGAAGACCCTCTTTCACGGCCGGCTTTGACCTAGACCTACCTTCCGTACAGTTTTATTTACGATCACGGAAGATCACTAAGGACAGGAGGTTACTGATCGCGATGGGCGTGAAAACCAGAAGGAAACCATCATAGCTGTTCCAGAAAGCTGATGATTAATGGAACATCCTGCGAGGTACGAGGTACCTACCCCGTGTAAACAAGATATAATTGCAAAGAGGTTTGGGACAGGCCGCTGTTGTCTGTTTAAAAAGTAAAAAAGTTGTTATTGATGTGTGTGAAAGATTGTTCGGAGACCGGGAAAGACGAGAGGTTTTAGTTTTAGTAGAGGTTTTACGACGTTCGCAACTGCATAAGTTCATATAAGGGTCAGAAGATTAGAGGTTTTACAAGAGAGTATCAAACATAAAAAAGAAGGGAAGATAAGGATGATAGATGTTTGATAAGAAAGAAGAAGCAAATCACACCAGATTACCCGCCAACCACCCACAAAGAGGAGAGGGAAAGAAAGAAGTAATGCAAAAAACAAAGTGTATAGTTATTTATTATGATCTCAATGGATACATTTTTGCTAAAACACTGCATATTTCAAATCGTTCATAATTTACCAAATGTCACAAAGTTATTATGCATTTCAGGTACTTTTTACCGGCTCTGTGGTGAAACGGTTAGGCACTTCGGAGTTAATATTCGACTTGTCTGCTGGGATGGTGCATCTCTGTCAGCCTGGTCTGACCCTGACTGGCAAGGTCAAAATCCTGAACGAACTGAACTGATCGACGGAAGTGTAAAAAACAAAAACGACCTACATTTTAAAAAAGACAAGTCATTGCTGGAAGCCACCGGAAAACTTGTCTCTACAGAAAACTGCCGAATGTTGAAACAAAAAAGGTCTTGAAAATCATGCTCTAAATCGAACTTCAAACTTTACCCCAACGAACTGATCAAAGACGAAACCTACCGCGTCCCATAAGGGAACATTGAATGCGATAACGGATTAGAGATGTAGCTCAGGGCAAAGAAGTTTTTTTTAGGAGGGTTCAAAATAAAAGGTGAATGTCATGATGATATTGCGTGACGCTTCCTCTTCCTCATCCTCTCCCCCCCCCCTCCCCCACCCCCTAAAAATAAAAAACAACAACCGCACACAACCTTTTTTCCGTTTGCTTTCATTTTAAGATTATTTCCTTTGCAAGAGCTGATAGGTTTTAAAGATGTATCGCCCGTGAAAGAAAGGTGCATCTTAAAATAAGACATAAAAATGTAATATTGATTTATTTGTCCTTTCTGAAAATTTGACGCTCAATTCTTTGGACCGATGTTTGTGATCTAGCGGGTAGGAGCTTTTTCGTTATATTATGAGAGTCGTGAGTTTGATATCAGAGTGTGTGTGTGTGTGTGTGTGTGT